ATTTGTTAGAGCAATCAGGGTTCAATAAATAATGTTTCTGGCCTTTAATGTGGTTTCTTTATGTTTTTTCAAGTGTTATATATATATATATACATACAAATAGTTTATAAATTCAATATATTTAGATAATAATATACAAAATATAATTATGTATTTATATAATAATATTAAACAAAAGTCAATACATATAATTAATACAAAATTAAAATAGAATTTAAAAATAAAACAAGTGGGTTTATAGAGTTCTAATTCTATTATCCTATAATAATAGTATAAGTTGGCATTTGTGTATATAAACATACATTTGTTCATACAAAATGTTCAAATATTGTTGATATTAAAAAAGTCAATATATAATTATTAATACAAAATTAAAATAATTTTAATTAAATAATTAAAAATAAAGAAATACCCAAATAAGTTCAAATTAAAAAAAATTCACACTTTCTGCACTGAAAATAAGTTTACCTTTTTTTTTGTATTTAATTTTATTTTTATTATTTTATTTCAACACAAATGTTCTTTAATAGTCTTAGAGGGCTCCATTTGCTTATTTTCCTCTTTTTGTAGGTGCTCTCTACCTCTCTGTGGGGCGGTATGTTGCTGCCCCTTGGAGACAAACCCTCCTCTATCGCTGACAGGTTAGTGAATTCCCTCTGTCATTGGGAAGAATAACCCACAAACACTCAAAATAATGTTGTTTTTGTATTTAAATGTGTGTTTAGATTCTATTTGGGTGGTCCGACCAGTGTGAGGGGCTTCAGCATGTACAGTATTGGCCCTCAGAGTGAAGGTAACTGATTCTGACTCTGACAGTGAAGCTCAATATCTCGATATTCACAACTAAGGTTTGTTGTAATACAAAATTAAAATAGAATTTAAAAATAAAACAAGTGGGTTTATAGAGTTCTAATTCTATTATCCTATAATAATAGTATAAGTTGGCATTTGTGTATATAAACATACATTTGTTCATACAAAATGTTCAAATAAAAATTAGTTCACTCTTTCTGCACTTTTAATCATACAAACACCAAGTAAATTCATCATAATTCTCTATTTTCTGTACTCCTGTAAAACATTTCTCAAACACTGTCAAGCTCAAGCCATATTTAAAGACTATTGGTCTTGGATCAATAAGCATACAGGTACTAAAAACACATATAAGTAAAAAAAAATTATTAAACTATCCATCTTACACAACATATGAAATGTTTTTCATTACAGAGTTTCTGAAAATGTGGCTCAATGAAAAACATTAAGTAGTAACCATCATGAAAATAAAGACTAGTTTAGCTGCCACTGCACTTTATTTGCTTTAAAATATTCATCATAATCCTAAACATATATAAAAATTAAGAGAATAGCAAATCTGATGTATAACATCAAGTCACACACGAGACAATCTAAGATTATATCTCTCGCTGTAGCTCCCACTGAGAAAAATATCACCTGTGCAGTGTCATTAAGTCCGGTAGGGGGCAGAATTACAATGTATGATGCAAAGTAAAGGCTCACAAAAAAAAAAAAGGATTCTGTCATGTACTCACCCTTATGTCATTCCAAATCAGTCTAGGACTTTCACATTTGGGCAACTATCCCTTTAAACCATGTAGTATAAACCATTTTTTGGTTGAATTCCTGATGCTAATAATCCACAGTTGACCACAAGTGTCCTGTTTTGTGATCCTTGGGCCCACTGTCAAACAGCAGTCATGGCAAAAGGACATATTATTAATCAGCGGAGAGCCAATGAAGTGGCCAAACATATTAAGTAGAGTGTGAGAGATACTGCTATCCCACATGCTCCACCACAATCCTTGGCATTTTCCTGTAAGAACAAATATATAACAAAACATAGTCATTTGTACATAGTATTTAGTCATTTAATTTAATTAGAATATATATACACATACATTATATATATATATATATATATATATATATATTTCTGGTCAATATTTTACATACACTTTGCAGTATCTTCAAAATGTTAATTTGACCAAAATAAGAGGGATCATACAAAATGCATGTTATTTTTATTTAGTACTGACCTGAATAAGATATTTCACATAAAACACGCAACATAATATCTGAACTTATAAAAATGACCCCGTTCAAACGTTTACATATGCTTGATTCTATGTTGTTACCTGGATAACAGCTGTTATTTTCTAACTATTATCTAACAATTATTTTCTCTTGTGGACTATATGTAAACATCTTTTATGTGAAATATCCTATTCAGGTCAGAACTAAATTAAAAAATGTATTTAGCATTTTGTACAATCCTTCTTATTTTGGTAAAATTATTAACATTTTGCAGATACTGCAAAGTGTATGTAAAATTTTGAACACAACTGTGTGTGTGCGCGTGTATGTGTGTGTGTGTGCGTATATATATATATATATATATATATATTCTGAGTCATTCATGCACTGTATGAATGTGGTGGCTTACATGAGGATGGTATGCATGACATGACTCCGGTCGTCTGCGAATCTTCTGAGATTTCATCCTGTTGCACTTAACCGTGGCATTATGTTCAAAGGAGTTAAGAAGACCTCAGTTTCCCACAAAGTTGAACTAAAACCACATTTCAAAGACAAGAAACTCATCATCATGGAAGGATATATTTGACTTCTCTGGGCGCGAGTGTAATGGGAGCGTACTGTCGGGAGCAGTCGCAGTCGGCCTGGACCACCAGCATGACCAGGTTACTGTTAGGAACCTGCTGTAGGACAAACATCCTGAAACATGAAAGAGAGAGTAACTGACAAATTGTTACTGGCA